CTTAAATTATTAAACACATACAAGAAAAATATTTAAATAAAAAAATATTTTTAGCAGCGCATGTATCAATATCAGATTCTAAATGAAATACAAAAAAGTCCAAATGTTTCAGTCCATTCCTGTGATCAGTCACAGTGACAGAAATCATAAATATTTCATAAAAATAAATCACTTAGATCATCCGATAATAATCACCACGTGAATACTTGTGCCAAAAAGTAATATAACTCTGTGTGGTGCTCCCCTCTCAGGTGTGCACTCACCAAAATGTGTTGCCTCCCACTCTCATGGTTGGCATACTGAGCTTTGGTAAATAATCCTCCAGGGACCAGATCTCCCTTCAACCTGTAGTACTGGACTCCTTAGATAACCGTTCCCGATCTCCAGGGGTTAAAATAAACTTCCTTCCAATTCGCCACTCATAATATATCACATAGAAGATACAAGATGAGAACCCCATATGGTGCAGTACCACTTAAATACCTTATTCTCCACAATAGAGTACCACTTACAAGATGTAAAACGTATTAAAGCCCAAAGATGTTAATAGCTAAGATGTTTGTGAGAGAAAAGCCGGAACAGTGCTCTTACCACTGCCGGCCTCCACTCTGACGCTCTTGCCTCACTTCCGGTCACCGCACAGGCTCTCCCTGACGTGCTTCATCACTTCCTATGAATAAGTCGGAAGTGACGAAACACATCAGGGAGTGGCTGTGCGGCGACTGGAAGTGACACGGGTCAGAACCGGAAGTGACGCAGGAACGTCACGGAGTAAAGGCCGGCAGTGGTGAGAGCAATGTTCTGGCTTTTCTCGCACAAACATCTTGGCTATTAACATCTTTGGGCTTTAATACTTTTTACATCTTGTAAGTAGTACTCTATTGTGGAGAATAAAGTGTTTAAGTGGTACTGCACCATGTGGGGCTGTCTTCTTTTATCTTCTATTTGGACGATCTATTGCTCAGAGGTTAGTCTGGTCCAAGCCTAAGAAAAAATGTGGCCCTTGTGATTCATACTCTGGAACGCTTGGGCTGGGTGCTCAACTTCGAGAAGTCTGGAGTATTTGAACACTGTTCAGACCTAGGTTTTTCTGCCTCCAGGAAAGGGCTGTACCCTGAGCGATCAGGTTTGCAGTTTGAGGAGCAGGAAGTATCCTTCCATTTGTCCCTGCATGACATTAATGGGGAAGATGGTATCCTCATTCGAGGCAGTACCCTGTGCGCAGTTCCACTCAAGGCCTTTGCAGAGAAATATTCTGTCGGCATGGAACAAAAAGATTCCAGCGCAGAATTACCCATGTCTTTGTCCCCCCGGTGCTAAAAGCTTGAATTGGTGGTTGGAAGCTTGGAATTTGGAAAAGGGAAGATCTTTCACACCAATGATTTGGAAACTGGTAACAACCGATGCTAGCCTCTCAGGTTGGGGGGCTGTTCTAGAAGGGACCACAGTCCAGGGGACGTGGTCACCACAGGAAAAGATCCTTCCCATCAATATCCTGGAGCTTCGGGTGGTGTGGCTTGCCCTAAGATATTGGACAACCAGGCTTCATGGTTGGCCAGTCTGGGTCCAGTCCAACAATGCTACAGCAGTGGCATACATCAACCACCAAGGTGGTACCAAGAGCCAGAGGGCTTAGGAGGAGGTTAATCACATTCTGTCTTGGGCAGAAGTGCATGTTCCGGTTCTGTCAGCAGTATTCATTCTATGGATAGAGAATTGGCAGGTGGACGACCTCCGTGGTCGGTGGTTGTTTCCTGGGGAATGGGCTCTGCATCCTGAAATGTTCTCGCCAATCTGCCAGCGTTGTGGGTACCCGGACGTAGATCTATTGGCATCCAGGTTCAACAGAAAGGTGGACAGGTTGTGTCTAGAATGGGGTGGATGCTTTGATAATACCGTGGGATCAGCTTTCCCAAATCTGTGCCTTTCCCCCGATTCAGCTTATCTCGCAGGTCTTACGCAGGATTCGAGTCGAGGTGATTCCAGTGATATTAGTGGCACCATCCTGGCCCAAGAGGTCTTGGTACGTGGACATCGTAAGGCTAGCAGTGCGCGATCTATGGCCTCTGCCAGATTGACCAGACCTACTGTCTCAGGGTCCTATATAGCACCTAGCTTTACAGTCACTTCGTTTGGTGGCATGGCTGTTGAGACCCAAATCTTAAAAGATAGGGGAGGGAGTGTCGGGCTCGGTTGTCCACACAATGCGGAACGCTAGGAAATGGCACCTGCGGAAATATGTGATTGGGAGAATTGTCCTTTCTCCAATCAGGAGTAGAAAAGAAGTTGGCTGTTGGTACTATTAAGGGTCAGGTATCATTAACCTTAGCTGGTTTTTCCAAAGACCGATTGCTTCTCTTTAGTTCGTACTTTTTTATAAGGAGTGATGTATACTGTTCCTCCTGTCAAAAAGCCCCTGGGACTTGAACTTGGTCTTGGCAGTTTTACAGAAAGCACCATTTGAAACTATCAGGGAAATTCCGTTAGTTCTGCTAACTGGAAAGAGTTTGCTTTTGGTGACTATCACCTCTGCAAGAAGGGCATCGGAGTTAGCAGCTCTTTCTTGTAGAGAGCCATTTTTTTGGTTTTACATCAGGATAAGGTGGTTTTGCTGCCTCACCTGTCCTTTTTGCCAAAGGGGGTTTCTAGTTTTCATTTCAATGAGGACATTGTTCTGCCCTTATTCTTCCCTAGGCCTCAGTCGGCAAAAGAACGATCTTTGCATGCCTTGGATGTGATGCAGGCAAAAAGGGTCTTTTTGAGAATGATGGTGTAGATTAGAAAGCTTGAATTGAAAGCTTATTTTGCTGGAAGGACCCAGGAGAGGACAGGCGGCAGCCAAATCAACTATTTCTAACTGGATTCATTAGTTAATCATTCAAGCCTGTGGTTTGAAGAGCAAGGTTCCACCCTTTCGGGTGAAAGCACACTCTACCAGGAGTGTGGGGGCATCTTGGTCTATCTGCCACCAGGCGTCACTCAGGTTTGCAAGGCTGCTACATGGTTTTCGGTTCATACAATCACAAGGTTTTACCAGGTGGATGTCAGAGCCACGGAGAATTCTACCTTTGGCCACAGTGTTTTACAAACCGCTTTTTGGGATGTTGACAGGGGTTATTGTGATGTCACCCACCCTTCAAGGTTATTGTTTTGGGACGTTCCACATAGTCATTACTATGGCATGCTCTGTGTCCCGTGATGTACGATAAAAAAAACATATGCAGTACATCTCTGCAATACATGCTCCTTTCCCTGTGTTTTATCTTTTGAAGAGTCTACCCCCTATAGACCCTGTGAGATAACCCCTGTGAGAACAGAAAAGTTCTTTCTGTTGATGTGCCAGAAATGCACTTGGTTCCTTAGTGCTGCTGTGGACTGACCACAGGCAGCTTTATTATGGGCCAAGTGTTGCCAACCCTTCCTCTATCTCTTGCTGAAGTACTCAACCGCTATTTATTACTGTCATTATTATGGCCTGCTCTGTGTCCCGTGATGTACTCCAATAAATGGATTTTACAACTATGTAGAAAAAATAATTTATTTTTTTTCCCCTTGACGTAATCTAATAGCTAGTGCCCACAGTAGACATAATGCATGAGAGTATAAAAAATACAGTGAGCGCTCCAATGGTCAGCAGCTGAACATTCAAGGAAAACACATAAAAGTCCCGACAATATATATATATATATATATATATATATATATATATATATATATATATAAAATGCAACGCTGTGTGATGTTACTATATTGAAGGCAGATATAAATAATAAATGAAACCAAAGCAAATGAATAAATCAATAAATAAATCAATAAATAAATCACAGTCCAGTAATGGTGCTCGCTGATTCCCAGTGCAAAAGTTAGAAATGCGCACTAACCAGAAATGTATTAATAATACACATGTGTATATGATATCATGAAGATTCCCCTCTCTTTTCTGGTCTGGTAATGGGCAAGAGCTGAAGATAGCAGAGATGAAGCGCCCTCGTGTGGCGAAATGGAGGTCCAGCAGGTCACAGAAATCCTTACAGAAGTGTGTGAGGTGGAAAATTCCTCCTCTCAAAGGCTGGGTGCAGGGATCAATCTGGGTCCACAGAAGCTGAAAAGGCTCATCGCAGAAGACACAGGAAAGAACCCATAGTGGCCCAGGACGCCATTGACACTACGCCGCCGGTGCCACGTGGAGGCCCGGCGGCCATCTTTAATCTTAAAGGGTCAGTCATTTGATTAAACCTGGCACCATTGTGAGCTTTTCCTGAGCACTCCTGTTTTTCTTGAATAAAATCATTTTTATCAACCTACTACACTATGGGTTCTTTCCTTTGTCTTCTGCGATGAGCCTTTTCAGCTTTTGCGGTCCCAGATTGATCCCTGCACCAGCCTTTGAGAGAGGAGGAATTTTCCACCTCACACACTTCTGTAAGGATTTCTGTGACCTGCTGGACCTCTATTTCGCCACACGAGGGTGCTTCATCTCTGCTATCTTCAGCTCCTGCCCATTACCAGACCAGAAAAGAGAGGGGAATCTTCATGATATCATATACACACGCGTATTATTAATACGTTTCTGGTTAGTGCGCATTTCTAACTTTTGCACTGGGAATCAGCGAGCACCATTACTGGACTGTGATTTATTTGTTTATTGATTTATTTATTGATTTATTCATTTGCTTTGGTTTCATTTATTATTTATATCTGCCTGCAATATAGTAACATCACACAGCGGTGCATTTTCTTTATAAGTAGACATAATGCATTTAGCTCTCTGTTTAGTCACCTTTTTTCTTCTTTTTTTGACATGCCTGCTTTCATTGTTTATTATGCAATAGTAAACAATACATGCTATATACATAAATACATATTTGAGTCATATACAGTCATAACTGAAATTCAGTGTGTAACATATTAAAGAATAATCAAAGTTTGAAGTGTGCCTAAATACAGGGAAACATATAAAATGATTGATGCACATCCCATGCTGAAACAATGTTTATCCCTCCTCTGCAGGTGTGTTAGAAGAAGCTGAGTTCTACAACATTGCTTCATTGGTCCGGCTAGTAAAAGAGCGTATTCGAGACAATGAAAATCGAACTTCACAGGTAAATCTAACATCTTATTTCCTTGGTGTTTTATACTCATCACCCTTAGGCTCCATACACACTACCATTTTTTTTTTAAGCTCAAAAAACGCAGATAATAGCGTTTTTTAGTAGTGTTTTAGAAGCTTTTAAGGAGCATTGGCGTTTTTTCAGTACATGTAGAAGGGGGGAGGGGCGCTAGAAAAAAGCCGTTAGGAGTGTTCTATTAGCGTTTAGTGTTTTGGGTTTTTTTTTTTCTTCCAGAAAAACACTTCAAAAACTGTTGTTTTTTTTCTGCTCCTAGACGCTGAAGCTCAGAAAATACTAATAGCCTAAAGTAGTGTGCATGGACACATAGGAGAACACTATTTAGCTTCTAGGAGTAGAAAATAATGCTAATAACTGCTTCTAGGAGCTTAAAAAAACACTAGTGTGCATGGAACCTTAAATCTGAAGACTTCTTTTGACTCCATGGCATGAAGTACAAATGCTTCTGATATGCTATTTATTGAATGACCAGTAAAAGTGTACTGAGTGTGCCAGGGATTAATAAATCAGAATAAACTGGGAAAAATCAACTAGTAGCTGGGATGCAGTTTTGGTTTCTACATTTAACATTGTTGGGTAGCCAGTGTGCCTAAAAACAGCTTTCATGTCCTTTCTATCCTTTTTGCATTGTAGTTTTGCTGGCTCTTGATTACATATTGATTTGTCCACTTCTAGCATATTGACTAGAAATTATAGTCATAGGTTGAAAAGACTCTGGTAATCACTCAAAAATTTGAAATGGCTGTTCCCTGTAATAGGGGAGCTGTTATACTTACACCTCTGGCATGCAAGTCCTCCTGCCTTACCTCCCTGCCAGTGCTGCCTTAGGCCAAGTCTTCAGTATTTGACAATTTAAGATGTGTCAGATGCCTGTGTCCTGCACTGTGGCTCTACCATCCAACCCCTATGTCACTATATACCAGCAGTGATTTTGGGGTGGGAGGATGGAACCACAACCCAAGGCTCAAAACCATTCTATGCGTCTGGGAGCGGTTAAGATTTTGTCAGTAGGAACAGCTATTTCCAAGCTGAAGTTTATTCTGCCTCCCCTGGTTTTCCTTCCCTGCTTCATCAACATGCTAGTTAAATTATTAAATAAAAATTTGTTTTAATTAAATACCTTATTTTAGACCCATTGACGTCATCACAGGGTCTCTGTGCTTTTCAGGGCAATGCAGTCAGATCATGGCTGGTGGGAGGGGCCAGCAAGGGTACTGTACATAGCTTTCTTAAAACACCACAGCACCCTGCTTCTATACTCCTCTCTCTCAAGAGCCCATAACCCTAATGCAAGCAGTGGGCTGGTTTATGAGAGGAGGTATGCAAAATACCAAAACGCCTTGATGGGTGGATGTCATACTATATAGAAGTAGGCATGCAGACATTTTGGTAACGCCTACATATGATTTATTTATTTCAGGTACTTGTATAGTGCTGTCCATTTACGCAGCGCTTTACACATATATATATTGTACGTTCACATCAGTCCCTAACCCTCAAGGAGTGTACAATCTAAGGTCCCTAACTCACATTCACACATACTAGGGACAATTTAGACCGGAGACAATTAACCTAGAGGCATGTCTTTGGAGTGTGGGAGGAAACCGGAGTACCCAGAGGAAACCCACGCAGGCACAGGGAGAACATGCAAACTCCAGGCATGTGGTGCTGTGGCTGGGATTCGAACTGACAACCCTAGTACTGCCAGGCAAAAGTGCTAACCATTTAGCCACTGTGCTGCCCATACATATGATGCAGAACCTCCAATTGTTGAAGGAAATTAACGTAGAAGTTCACTTTATTGGAAAATATAATAAATGCACACATTTTTGCAGAAAAAAATGTGCATTTAATATTTTTTTCTACAGGAGCCTGCAGAGCATTGCACCTGTGACCAATGGATCATGGGCGCAATGTCAGGTTCCTACACACTCTTCCTCCAGCTTTATGCCCATACCTCCATATGGGCTATAAATTATAAAGATGGAGGAAGAGTGAACGCGCCTTTACAGTCCATTGAGCACTACAAGCTGTTTGCGGCGGTGACAGATGGGATTTGTAGTGTTTTCACTCAGATTCCTGGAATTTGATAGTGCAGCTCTGTGGGCAGAGCCACGCACAGCTTCACTATTTTTGAAATGTGACCGTTGGCATAGGATGTATAGGGAGAGAATTCCTTGCCTTCTGTCACAGTGGAAGGGGTGAGCGGGGCATGAGCTGGAACATGTTACACCTTAAATTTGGTGAACTTTGTCCTGAAATTCATAATGAAGGGCAGGTCAGGGACAGTTTGGCTGGGGAGGAAAGAGCTGGATGATGTTGGATCTCAGCCTGGAAATGAGACAGGCGCTATCTATGACTTGCTGTAGTTACTAATGCACAATGTAAGAAGACTGCAGTGTGCGGTGAAATTAGAATATGCAGTCTGTCATAGTTGTACAGGCTCCTCTCTTGTACTCAGACTGCAGGGCAAGCTGGAGTTCAGCCTCAATTTTAGGTGACTGAAATGGTCACTTTAGGAATTGACTTTTACAACATGCAGAAATACATAGTTTACTGCATGCATTTTTTTTGTCTTGGTACCTTTTCTAACTACCCATGTGATTTGTTTGTTTGAATCCTCCCATGTGTGCAACCTAACCGTGCTAATCGCTTCATCATCTTTTACCAGGGTCCTGTGAAACATGTATACCGAGTGTTACAGTGCCAGGAGGAGGAACTTACACAGATGGTGTCCACCATGTCTGATGGGTGGAAGTTTGAGCAGGTGACTGAATAAAATTTAAAAAGATTTGTCTTATTGGTATACAATAAAAAGCTTTATTTTTTTTTTATTTGAGGTTATAAGTGAAATGCCTCTGTACTGTAGAATTACATAGTATTCTGTTTCTATATAAACAAATCCATATCCCCCTATGTCAGCGTGGATGTCATACCATCAAGACCAATCAGGGTGGATTTGATTTTAATCGTGCTGATTTAAACCACTAGTGAAAAGGCTCAATTTAATTCATAATTTTTAAAGAGCAACTGTCATCTCTGTCCTGCAGCGGCTCCTCCTCTGACCTGCTGTTGACTCACCGACAGTACCATTCACTTTAATGGGACGGCTGGTGATGCCGCAGTGACACCACAAGGTGAGGGACGTGGCGGCAGCAGGGGAGTGGATGCCCGCTAACAGGCGCTGCCATGATGGATCTGAAATGACAGGTGCTCTTTGATTGTAAAGAATCTGACTCATTCTTGCTGGTAGTAAGAATCTTTAATATTTGCAAACCAAATGAAGGTTTCCTTTTTAGAATAATAAGCAGTCAGGTTAGTAAAAGTGATATCAGTATCGATTTTATGTTAATAGGTTCATCACACATAGCTGGAGAACAACTCAAATTCTTTTATTTCATGTTTTTTCTCATTGTTACTGTGACATTGTGTGAATGCATCAATGCCGTGCATGTTCTCAGCTTGCAGAGCTTGGATTCATTGAATCATTTTACCGAATATGTAATTATTGCAGAATATACAGCCTCATGCTACATAACTAGGCTCCATTTGATGCTGAAAAAACGAAATTATTAATGTATCTTAAATGGAAAACTATCTTTAGTTAGATTTTTTTTTTTCTTGTCAATTTTTTTTATCCATCCTAAGATCAATCAATACCATCATTCACTGACTCTTTTATATAAACACTGTAGGAAAGAAAAAAAATCTAGTTCTAGCCACAGTGTTAGTACTGCAAAGAAAATAAGGTTTTAATTTTCTCTGTGGTCTTGTGTTCGTGTTGGGAAGGACTAACCATTCATCATATCTTTAATGCTGGCAGATAGGCAATTGAAAAAGTAGGTACACCCCATTGAAATCATCAACATATTTGAACAAGCAAACATTAGATCTTTATTCAAAAATTCCTACAGATAAATTGTTACATGATAATAAGAACATATGGAAAATTAGCTTTTTTCCAGTCTTTTTATTTAACAAAATATTGATAGACGTACTAGTATACAGTGGGGAAAAAGCAGCCCACCCTTGGCCTCAGAAGCTGGTATAGCACCCAGGAACTATTTGTAGACCCATTACATGGATTTTATGACCACTCTTTTGATGCAGAATTTCTTCAGTTGCAGGATATTTGTGTTTCCTTATATGAACTGCCAGTTTCAATTACATAATTAGTCTGGTTGAAAAAAGACACAAGTTTATCTAGTTCAACCAATAAAAGGGGGGAAAAAATTGACAATCCTAAATACACAATACTATACCCAGAATTGATCCAGAGGAAGGTAAAAATAAACCCAATAAAGCTTGATCTAATTTGCATCACCAGGGAATTCATCCCACCTTTCATTGTGTTTTGGATCAGGGCTTTGACCAGGCCATTCCATAACCCTCAAATTCTTTTTTGGGCCATTCCTTGATTGATTTGCTAGTGTGTTTCGGATCAGTATTGTGTTGGAAGACCCATTTAAGGTTCAGCTTTCAGGCAGTCTCACATTCTCAACAAACACACCTTGATTTGATGCAGAATTCATAGTTAACTTGATTGCTGCAAGCTGCCCAGACCCTGAAGCAACAAAGGAACACCAAGCCATAATCCTTCCAACACTTTGCACACAGTTGATATGAGGTTACTCTCCTGAGGTTTATTCCAAACCTGTCTATATATACTGTAACCAGACAACGTATCTTTGATTCATCTGTCTACAGCCTATTGTTCCAGAAGGCCTGGTCTTTTGCCTGTTCTATGGCAAACTGTAGTTTTAATCTTTTAGATTTACCAAAACCACATAATATGAGGTCAAACACTTTCAATTTATATACAATCAGGCAGGGCCTTGCACTACATAGTTGAAGGTAAATCTAAAGGAAATTGAGAAAGAAAATTGTATCATGTATGGCCAGCCTAAGTCTAATGTTCTTTTTGGATAGAAAAGGCTTTGTTCTGGTATACTGGCATAACTCCCGTGCAGGTTAATTTGGTGCAGTCTCTTGCTGGCTGTAGATGCATGCACTTTGACACCAAATGTTACAAGAGTGACCTGCAGATCTCACAATTAAATGTTGGGGGTCTTTAGAGACTTGTTTAAACATGAAATGGTCAGCGCTTGGGCTGAGTTTGCTAGGCCCGCCAGTTTCTGAGCATTTTAGAAGTCATTTGAAATCTTTTCCACTTGTAGATTTTTTTTTCCTCTTACAGAGGAGTGATTGAATTCAAATACCGTATTTGCCGGCGTATAAGATGACTTTTTACCCCTTGAAAATCTTCTCAAAAGTCGGGGGTCGTCTTATACACCGGTATACGGCATACTGACACTTTTTAGGGGGGCGGTGCGGTGCCGCCGCCCCCCCCCCCCTTCCAACGGAAGGGACACTAAGTACGGGGGTGGGTAGGGGTTGTTTCTTACCTGGCTCCAGTCCCACGACGATCCGGTCCAGGAAGCGCGGCTGTTCCTTTAGTTCGGCCACTGGATGTTTGCGCGGCTGCTCGGCTCCGCCTCCTCACCGGTGATTGGCCGCCAGAACTGTAGCTCAGGAAAGGCACACAGGCGTCCAATCACCGGCGAGGGGGTGGAGCCAAGCGGCCCCGCGAAAATCGAGTGCAGGAGCAGCAGGTAAGTGTTCAGTGTAGAGGTGCTGCTGCAACCACATATGCTGGCTGCAGCAGCACCATACTAGAACAGGGTCAGCAAGTGTAATTGGTGTCAGTGGGAGGAATAGTGCCCCATCATTGGTGTCACTGATACCAATGGTGGAGTACTATTCCTCCCACTGACACCAATGATGGGGCACTATTCCTCCCACTTACACCAACGATGGGGCACTATTCCTCCCCCCCCCACTGACACCAATGATGGGGCACTATTCCCCCCCCCCCCCCACTGACACCAATGATGGGGCACTATTCCACCCCCCCACTGACACCAATGATGGGACACCATTCCACCCCCCACTGACACCAATGATGGGACACCATTCCACCCCCCACTGACACCAATGATGGGACACCATTCCACCCCCCACTGACACCAATGATGGGACACCATTCCACCCCCCACTGACACCAATGATGGGGGCACTATTCCTCCCACTGAAACCGATGATGGGGCACTATTCCTCCCACTGACACCGATGATGGGGCACTATTCCTCCCACTGGTGTGCATTGGGTGTGCAGAGGGGGTAGTCTTATACGGCGAGTATAGCCCAAACACTACATTTTAGCAGGAAAAGTAGGGGGTCGTCTTATACGCCGGCAAATACGGTGATTTGGTGAGCTTTTCAAACCCCTCGATAGATCTATAGTCATTCGCAGCTTTCTTTATGTGGCCTTAGAGAGAGCAGTATTGATTTTGGCATGATGACACTACATATCAATAACCAAACACCAGACTCTAGATTTTTGAGATTTCAGTAAAACCAGTTCCACCTGCATACGCCCTTCTTATCTTTGAACAACCTGACTCTTAATTTCATGGATTAGATGAGGAGGTAATTGTAAGGCCCCTTTCACACGGGGCGGATCCATTTTGCTCAGTAGGGGATCTGTTCGCTGATCCCCTGCTGAGCAGAACGGGCAGATGACAGGTTTGTATCCACTCAATTTATGCCGAATAGACGCTCTTTCTTACTTTTTTTTTTTTCTTTTTTTAAGCAGACTGTATCAGATTTGAATGTAGGGGGTCTGTTTTGCACCTTCCAGTCCATAGGGATACATAGAGCATCTGATCAGATCCACCTGAAAAACTGACAGGCGGACCTAGTCACATTGCCCGTGTGTACATGTCTTCCATATGACAGATCTACCTTTATGTTCATTTACACCGAGTATGAATACAAATAGTACACAATGTTCTCTGTCATTTGTTCAAGTATATTACTTTTGTCTGGAGAATGAAGAGCTAATGTTAGCCTGTTCATATATGTTAAAAAAAAAAAAGTCATGTCAACAATGTCCATAGGATGTACTTTTCACCTGACTGTATGTGAGATATGGCTAGCCACTAGAACATATCTAGAGAACTTGCAAAAGCAAATACAGAAAACACACTATTGTCCAATTTGCTTTCTTATTCTATGTGCTGTATATACACCAATTGGCCATAATTTTATGACCACAGCTAAGTTAGGTGAATAACATTGATTATCTCATTAGAATGGCATCTGAAAGTCTGTGGGTTTTATTAGGTAGCACGTAAACATGTTGTCCCTGAAGTTGATGTGTTGAAAGCAGAAAAAATGGGCATTGTACTTTTGTTTTGTATGGGGCTGTGTAGCCACAGACGACCAATCAGGGTGCCCATGCTGACCTGTGTCCACAGCTAAAAGTGCCATACAATGGGCGCATGAGCATCAGAACTGGACCACTGAACAATGGAAGAAGGTGGCCTGGTCTGATGAATCATATTTTCTTTTACATCATGTGTGGCTGGCTGGGTGTGCGTGCATTACTTACCTGGGGAAGAGATGCCACCGGGATGCAGTATGGGAAGGAGGAGGCAGTGTGATGCTTTGGGCAATGTTCACCTGGGAAACCTTGGGCTTGCCATTCATTAGGATGTTACTTGCCACATACCACCTACCTAAACGTTGTTGAATACCTAGTACACCCCTTCATGGAAACGGTATTCCCTGATGGCAATGTCCTTTTTCAGCAGGATAATGCATCCTGCCAAACTACAAAAATGGAAAACTACTGGAAAAACAAGTGAAATCCATGGAGTACTCCACCTTGAAACTTACAGGACTTTAACCACTTGGCAACCACGCTATAGCCGAATGATGGCTACAGTGCAGTTGTCGAGTTCTGGGAGGGCGTCTTATGACACAACTGATCACGTGATGTGGTAAAAGGCCAATCACAGTGGCCTTTTACCATGTGATTAGCGATGTCCAATGACACAGCAGATCACCGGTAAATGCAGTTGCCAGTTATTGGCTGCACTTTCCTCACGCTGTCACAGCATGAGGATAGCACTGCCGATAACTGGCAATTGTCAAGACTGATTGGCACTGATGATCAGTGCCCACAAGTGTCCATCAGTGTCACTCACCTGTGCCCATCAGTGTTACCCACCTGTGCCCATTAGTGCCTAGTGCCACCCACCTGTGCCCAGCAGTGTCGCCAGTCAATGCTGCCCATCAGTGCCACCTATCAGTGCAGCAGCATCAGTGCCAGCTCATCAGTGCTGCCTATTAGTGCGCATCAGTGCTGCCAAACCATGCCACCTCATCAGTGCCGTCTATCAGTGCTGCCTCATCAACGCACATCAGTGAAGGAGAAAAATTACCTGTTTCCAAAAATTTATAATAGAAACAAAGAAAAACTTTCTTTTTTTTTTTTTTTTTTAATTTTTTGCTTTTTTTTGTTTTGTTTATAGCACAAAAAATAAAACACGTAGTGGTGATTAAACCACCAAAAGAAAGCTCTATTTGTGTGAAAAATTATAAAATTTTCATATGGGTACAGTGTTGCATGACCGGGCAATTGTCATTCAAAATGCAACAGCGCTGAAAGCTGAAAATTGGGCTGGGCACAAAGAGGGTTTAAGTGCCCTGTAGGCAAGTGATTAAGGATTTGCTGCTGGTGCCAGATACCACAGCATGTATTCAGAGGTATAGTGGTGTATATACCTTGACGAGTCAGGGCAGTTTTGGTGGCAAAGGGGGGACCTACTCACTAATAGGTAGGTGGTCATAAAGTTATGGCTGATTGGCGTACTTACTTCTTCTTTCTAATAAAGGAATCCTTAAAAGGTAACAAAACATTTTAGAGAATGATTTTACATCGTAATCAACTGCCTTGAAATTCATTGAATTAATCTTTATCATATTTGCATTATGTTACAACTGTCGATAACTTGATAATTCTTCTCTGTCTACAGTACTAATGTAATTGTAATTTTTGTTTCAGCTTATCAATATTGGTTCTTCCTATAACTATGGGAATGAAGACCAGGCAGAGTTTCTTTGTGTCGTGTCCAGAGAGCTGAATAACTCTACTAATGGATTGGTCATTGAACCCAGTGAGAAAGCTAAAGTGAGTGTATCTGGTGAACTGTGTGTGCAGTGTACAGTATGTATGTCATTTTGTCTTTGCAAAGAGGGCTGCTTTTTTTATTTTAAAAACTGCTGGTCACCTGATTTTTTTTTTTGGGCTGTAAGACGGGTGTGGAAATTAAAAAAAAAACAAAAAAAAAAACTACTTGTCCGAGGACTAAATCGGGGTCCCAATGTACTTGTCCCTCATGACAATCTACTTGTCCTGATAACAAAGAAACATGTTAATCAAAACCGTATTTAAATAAGGTCTTATTTGTTATAATACTACTGAATGAGACAGTTTTATCACTAGGGATTTTCAATGGATGTGTGTCCCTTTTTAAACCTTGAAATGTCTTTGCCAGGATGGATAATACAAAAGCTTTATGTTTTTTTATTAGCCAGAGCTGCTTTTAGGAATGTCTGGGGCCTATAAAAATGAAATGGGCTTAATGGTGACCTAAACTTTTAATATTTTTAACATTGCACTGTTTATATCCTAGTCTACTCCCTGTCTGTCTCCAGTACCAAATCAGGGAACTAGCAGGGAGGGGAGAGACCTTGCAGTGTAATAGGCACTGGGTTTTGGGTGCTCATCAAGAAAAAGGAGTGTGGGTCTCTCCTAACGCTCAGCAGAGGTGCATCTGCTGAGTGAGTGAATTACCCTCGCACACGGAAGCACTTGTGTACTCAGTATAACCGCATGCTGAGCAGAGAAATCAAGCTCCGGTATCCATCAGGGTCAGATCTTTTTTTTTTGTTCAACCTGCTGGTTATGGTATCTACCAAAATATATGGTATGGACTGCCTTACTGAGCCTACGTTAAAGAATAATTTCATTAATACCAGCAACTGTTGGGACAATGAGCATCTTGGTCAGGTCTATGTACAGTAGAATGTATAGAGTACAGGGGTCAGGGGTAAGGAAAAAAAACAAAACAACATATGCACTGCAGCGGTCAGGATGAGAACCATGTTCATATCAGAGTCCTCCTTTGCATCAAAGTTCCCAGCATTACCTCTGTACATTGAAGTGCACCTTTACATCCTATCAGACTGTGGCGGGGTGCGCCCTTACATCCCATCAGACCATAACGGGGTGCGCCCTTACACCCCATCGGACCATAACGGGGTGCGCCCCTTACACCCCATCGGACCGTGGCGGGGTGCGCCCCTTACACCCCATCGGACCGTGGCGGGGTGCGCCCCTTACACCCCATCTCCTCTCCTGTCTGTGTGGGGAGGGTGGGGGGAAGGGGTGAGGGAGTGCGCTCGCTGGACGAGTGTTACACTCAGCTTGCACAGCTACAGCCAGTTCTGCCTGTGTTTACCAACAGAGCTGCTGCTTGCCCGCAGCAGAGCTAAGTGACAGAAAAAACAATCTGCCTGGCGTCTGAAACTACATGTCCCGGGTGTCAGGCGATGGGATTCGCACATCTCTGTAAGAAAATGTACTGATCATACACAACACATACGGTATATGTACATTACCTGTACCTGGTACCATTATTTAGATATAAGGTGTCATTTTTGCATAGGTATTTTGAAGTGGCACAATTTTTTAAGTGATCTGTTGTAAGATGGTTCTCATGGATGGTGAGTATTCCTTTATGTCTATGCATTACACTGTCTGCTATTGCCCCATGACTGTTTTAGTTTCAGATTTTCATAATTTCTGTTTTTTTTCAGATTCTTCAGGAGCGAGGATCCCGGATGTAAGAAAGAACATGGACTGGAATCTAATTATGAGCTCTGCCCAGACTGTAGCCAAAGCCCTCACTGCCTGCCGAGCTCATGCGCTGTACTCCTCAGTGATCCCCCTCATCCTCAGCAGGCCTTAAGATCCCCAAATTAAAGAGGGGAACCTTGTGAGCATAGTAACACAGACAGTTTCTCCTCTTGTGGGCCTGTGCTTTGTATTTTCAGGTTATGTAGGAATGATGTCAGTTATTGTGGGGTGCAAGGGTTGGGGTGGGAGGTTAAAATCTGCTTGTTTGCAGCTACATGTGTATTTTTTTGTGTGTGTGTGTCCTTTCTCTGTGGCCTGTCATTGTTTTCTGCTGTGCTCCAAGGACTTGCAGAAACATGGCAAGATCACTGCCTTTCTGCTTGATCAGTGGATTCTCTGGCCTTCCAATTGAAATCTCTTCCTTTCTGACAGTTGCCAAAAGTCTTTCTCTGTTTCCTGTCTCTAGGGCTGCTTACAGGGCAGTCTTATCCTCGGCTGTGATTCTAAGGGGGATCCATCTCCTAGAGCCTCATGTCTGATACATGCAGTTCTACATACAGCTGGCTCACAAGCAAAATGACAGCAACAAGACAAATATAGACTTTTACTGAAACAATCATTGTTACAGCACAGAATGCTGCTTATACCACTATTGTTACTGTTCAGCAGTTATTAGGGGCACTTATATACGGTATCTACAGTGCATGCATATACATACAGTACGTAGCATGGTATTGTGTCCAATTTGCAAGCGGGGTTGGGGATATTGTCTCCGTTTGGATTGCCAGCCTCAGACACGGGCTGCTTTTTCATTGAGCAAAGCACAAACTCTCTTAACATTCCTTCCATACAGAGAAAAGATGTGGAGCCAAGTAATTTATGTTGATGTGGATGTAAAAATTTGTCTTGCAAGAACTGTTTCATTGCCAAAGCTAGTGTGTGTATTTTTAATGTGTCCTTTTCTCCTACCCTCCTCTCCCACCTTCAACTGTGGCTGCCAAGTTAATCTGTTTGCAGTATGCCTGTACATAGTACAATACATTCTTTGTATCTAAGAAGCATATCCTTGTTGTGATATTCAAAAGGGAAGAGGTCAGCATGTTGCCATTGCTGAATGGTAAAATCAGTTTGTTCTTTAAGCTTCAATGGATAACATAGATATAAAATATATTTGCATTGAGGCACTGGGCTGTGATAATACCATGCAACTGCAGCACTGACTTCCATTCACACTGTGAAGAGCTGTTATACCCTTTTACAGTTGTTACTACTTACATGCTTTAAAGTGGACCTAACATTAAAATAATTCAGAAGGAAAAAATGGGAGGCGCTGGATCCAAAGTTCAGTTTCACAAAGCACAAAGTGTAGTAGGGTCTGTGCTGGAGAGCACAATGGCAGCGCTGAACCACAAAGCGCACACTAAATGGTTCCTTGGATGGAATGCAGAATGTTTAGGAAAGACAAGTGCTGCACACCAGTAGTGTTGAAGTCAGCTACTGAAGCATGTTTACTTCAGCTTCCTTGAGTGCCCTCTCTTCTATATCTGCATTCTAAGCCTTGATGAAGGTGTTGACATTTTCTGACAACATAAATTCTACAGGACTGTTATTAGCGTGGCTCTTGTCTTTCCTCTACTATCAAATACTCACTTTTACAGATAAAATGTAATGTTGAACTAGCACCGTACATCCTCTACAACCCCAGTCCTGCTGTACATACCTCTGGTCATGCTGAGCTGTCAGTTTCTCCACAGCCGCTCCAGGGGTTTAGGATTTGAAATCCCTGCTCTTTTCCCTGTTCTCTTTGCAGTGCGTCTGGGACTGACCAGTAATTCTGATTGGTCAGCATCGTCACAGTGAATCGCCCTGGTCTGTCCAGAGAACGCTGCACAGAGAGCAGCGGGTATTTCCAACCCCCAGACTACTGGAGCAGTTGCAGGGACATTGACAGCTCAGCTCAGTAAATACAGCTTGGACTGGGGGATTGAGGGGGGTGTACAGTTTTGATTTATCTTAATTTTTTCTGTAAATGTGAACTGACCCTTTAAACTGCTCCTCCTACTGTAGTCTAAACAAAAAACACTTTTTTTTATTGTAACTTCGTAGTCCTTAGGTAGAGTGGCTACATTAGTTTTCCTCTCCCTTCATGACTACTCTCACCTCCTCATTGTAGCCATGGCTGTCTCTAGGCTGAAGTGCATATGTACCTTTTTGTTCATCTCCATTATATTTTTTTTTCTCAATTTGGATTTCTGTAGTACTTTTCTCCCAGGGGACTCAAAGTACATAAGCAGAGGCAGCCATCTTGTGTGCAGTCAGTTAAGTCTGTTAACCTACTAGAATGTCTTTTGGAGTGTGGTAGGAAAACAAAGTACCCGGAGGAAAATCACACAAGCACAGGGAGCACATGAAAACTCTATGCAGGTACTGTGCTGGTTAGGGTTCAGAACGGCAGCCGTAGTGTTGCAATTACTTGGTAGTTGATTGGATTAGTAGTTTATACAAGAAAGATAGTGTTTTTTTCAAATATTTTCTTTAACTGCTGAAAATGTTCTTAGCCTGGAAAAAAAGGAAACTAATGAAGGCACCACATGTAAGGACTAGTAACATACAGTATATAAAATTTGTGTTCCTAAAGGGATTCTGTTAGGGCAGAGAAATGCGATCTGAAACAGATTTGTTTTTTTGAACATGTTTGTTTTGTGGCTGCCATCTTAAACCTTGCTTCTCTACTTAGTCACTTACCCAGAGAATGCCTATGCCTATGAGGTGTCCTCACACATGCTTGTTCTATTTTATTATTATACAGGATTTATATAGCGCCAACAGTTTGCTCAGCGCTTTACAATATAAGAGGAGACAATACAGGAACAATACAGTTCAATACAAGAGGGTTACAAGGGCCCTGCTCCTTGGAGCTTGTTCTAGATCAGTGATTCACAATGTAATAAAAGAATGATGAGCCTGACCAGCAGAGTTTTAGGTACCATATTTCTATGGTAAGCCATGTGCTGATCCTGACTTCTGGGTGGCTTCTGGCCCTATGGTCGGGATCTTTTCAGAGGCTGGACCGACTCAGATGTCAGCCGACAGTAGGCTTCAGTCAACTGTCAGCTGAATATGGGTCACAGGAGTTTATAACTAACTGCAGTCCTGTGATCCATAGAAGTATAGTCAAAATAGCTTTGGCTATACTCCTTTAAAATGTATCTAAAGGCAACCACTTTTTAGTTCTGGATAGATAGAGTGGGCAAAGGTGTGGAACCTGTCTAAGAAGGAGTCTCCCTTATACTCGTTCCTCACTCCCTGTTGTGTCTAATGGACAAGATGTGAAGAGAAATCTCCCCAATGTGACATAGATGGGGAGAAGTAACAGGTTTTAACCCTTCCCTACTTTAAAGTATATCTAAATATTAGCAGAAGGTCCAAATACTTAGGGGTCTATTTATAGAACATTTGTTGCACGAATGTCAGAAACATTTCTAAAAGCTGAACTAGATTTCACACTTTTTTTTGAACAGATGAACTTCTGTATCATTCATTCCACCTAATGGCCAAAATTCAGTATATGTTGTCATTGCAGTATGTCAGAAAACTTAGCTGCATTATAGCCACTACAATGAACTGATGATACAGCCATTAATCCATTAGAGAACCTATGGTCTTTCATGATGAATGTTTTAAAACAATGAACCCTTGGCTGGGATGCAGACACTGCTGCTCTGGAATTCAACAGCAGATGGTCATGTGAATAAAGGCTAATTATTTGATCAGGGGACCATCTATTGTGGCTTCCCACAAGCTACTCCAGTCAGTTTGTACTTTGAGTAGTGGGCTTTTTAAAAAACGTTTTTCCCTTTCTAACTTTGTGCTTCAGTTAACAGGTCTACATCCACTGATGGGTGCATACAGTAGGTCTGGCAGCTGCCTCTACAGCCAACTGAGACAGCAAATAAAAGTAAATTGCTACTGGTGCATTGTTTGGTGACAGGCTGACAGATGAGTGACTGTTGGTACTAGAAGTAGTGAGATGCCTGCAACTCCCTGCATTTGCTGCTATTAATACCAAGAGCAGTTAGCTGGAATGGAACTTGGGTTCTGAGTTAGTTCACCATCAAAAGGTTTGTACTAATGCTGCTGGAGCACGAAAGGAAATTGAGTCCCTCTGGACTACGAAGTTGGGGTCTCCCTTTGGTACTAATGAAGGGGAAAAAAAAATTTCAGTTTATCACATGCTCTACCTTACAGTCATGCATAGGGTTGTGTTCAAAATGATAGCAGTATGTTTAAAAGAAAAGTAAAGATTAAAGCTCAAAATTCTTATAACAGCTTTTATTTCAATCCATGCAAATGCATTGGGGACACTACACAGTCTATTCCAAATCAAAACATGAAGATAAATGTTTCAAATTTGTTATTACTTTACAGAAAGTGAAGAAAGAGGGAATATTATGCTGTTAAAAAATAGTGTCTGCATTTTTATTTACAAATTCAAACATTTACTGTATAAACTGATAAATGCTTTAAGATTTAGTGTTCCTGTAAATCAATGAACTAATATTTAGTTGTATAAGCACTGTTTCTCTGAAGTGCTTCACATCTGTGCTGCATGGAGTTGACCAACTTCTGGCACCTGTGAACTGGTGTTCCAGCCCAGGACGATTGGACTACATTCCACAATTCCTCTGCATTTTATGGTTTTTAGCTTAGAAACAGCATTTTTGATGTGAACTAACAACATTTTCTATTGGATTAAGATCCGGGGATTGGGCTGGTCACTCATAATGTTAATCTTGTTGGTCTGGAACCAAGATGTTGCTCACTTACTTGTGTGTGGTCGATGTCTTGTTGAAACACCCATTTCAAGGGCTTTTCCTCTTTGGCATAAGGCAACATTGCCTCTTCAAGTATTTTGATGTATTCAAACTGATCCATGATCCCTGGTATGCGATAAATAGGTCCAACACATAGTATGAGAAGTATTTCTGTA